CCCCCCCCCCTTATATAGTTTGTTTCTATTCACATCTTGTGTTGCTTTTCCAAGAGAACTACCATTTTCCAGAATTAGGTTTCTGCCTGGTGCCAGGGTGCCCTGTTTCTATTGGTGACACGTGGTCTCCTGTGCTTTTCTTACTTGCTGAGTTGTCCGAACCTGCACCATGATGAGGAAAAGGCTTGATGAAACTCATTGAGGTGAAAGTTTCACTTCCATTGTAAATAACTTTAAACTGCCAAACAATGATATCAGCTACATTTTGAAGCTTACTCTTGGTTGCTTCCCTTAGCCTTCTCATCATTCTGCTTTTCAAATGAGCTCCTGGGTTATTCTGCCTCTTTTATATTATTGACATAACTTGGAGCAAATGATTTGACAGAGATTTCATCTGTTAAGCTAAAAATGGAAACTAATAACTCAGATTGTTTCCTAATGAGAATAGAGAAAACAGACCTACTTTAATATACATTTGGGAAAAGTTAAAATTAGTTACTGTTACTTTAGTTTTTATGTCTTTCCACCCACATTCCAGAAGTTGACGTTGAGCAAATAATTTATGTGCCTGATATTTTCCACAATTTGTAGATATTCAGACATGTAATTTTCTCCACTCACTCTAACTAAGATTTTGTTTTTGCAAACCTCCAAGGTTCTCCCAGCAGAGATGTGGGGCCTTCCTTGGGTCTGAAGAAGTCAAGCTCTTTAGAGAGTCTGCAGACAGCAGTCGCTGAGGTGACTTTGAATGGGGACATTCCTTTCCATCGCCCGCGGCCGCGGATAATCCGAGGAAGGGGATGCAATGAAAGCTTCAGAGCTGCCATTGACAAGTCCTATGATAAACCTGTGGCAGACGATGACGATGAAGGCATGGAGACATGTAAGTTTACAATGTCTGAAAGAATAGCCATGCCAGGCATCTCTATAGAGCAGCAGTTCTTAAAGTGTGCTCCAGGGAACCCTAGGGGTTCCCAGCATCCCTTCAAAGGGATCTAGGAGATCTAAATTATTTTCATAATAAGAAGAAGATGTTATTTACCTTTTTTACTCTTATTCTCTCACAAGTGTACAGTTGGGTTTTCTAGAGGCAACATGTCATGTGATATTGCGATAGACTGAATGCAGAGAGGATAGAAGAATCTTTTCAGCTAGATATTAAAGAGATTTGCCATTGTTCTCAATAATTGTTTTTGGAAAATACAGTGGTTTTTTTGGTAAAAACCGTAATTTCTGTTAACATGAAATCTATTATTTTTTATAAAGTAATTTGTATTTTTTAACTTTCTCAGTTTTAGTTTAGTAAATATTGATAGACATAATCCACATAAAATTTTGAGTCCTTAATAAATTTTAGGAGTATAAAGGTATCCTGAGACCAAAATATTTGAAAACCACTGCTGTATAGTATGTCTTTAATATATCTCAAATGAGTACATGTAATCATCTGTGATTTTGATGACATATTTTTGTTTTGTTTTTATGAATTACTCTTGCTTTCCTTGAACTGAGCTAGCAAGACATATTTGTGTATGTGTCTTTCCAAATTGCCAAATATTTTAAACCAAGATTATTGAAAGTCAAAGGTTACCATGAACGAGCAATGTGTTTTCCATAGTATATTGAGAAAAAAGTAACATTTATAAATATGTACAAACGTATGCTTCAGGGAGTTGTCACTGTAGTTAAATATTTATGGTATAAAAATAGCCATTCGATTTAAACATAAGGAAGAAACTCCGTAGTGTATTTACTTAGAAGAGAAAGGACTGGAGTCCTAATAGAAAAAATTGTTGATTAACTTACATTGTTCGTATCTACTAAATCACATTTTAGCTTTCTAACTTCAAAGTGACTCTACCCATCTAACCATTGTAAGAAAAGCTAGAGGGGGGAGAAAAAAGAGAAGAAAAGCTGGAGACACCACTGCCCAAGGTTAAAGCAGAGATCATTTAGGTGGATTGTAAACAATTACAGTTTAACTCTTGGGTGAACCACTTTGATCACACGTACATAAGGAAGACTGTGCTGGGGAAGGAGAGTTTGAAATGAAAATCACATTCTGAGGAGATTTAAAGCAAAATTATATAATCTTTGCCTATCAGATATAATGTGTTTCGGAATTTGAATATTTCTGCCATAATGTAACACATAAAGCAAAGCTTAGGAGAGGATCACTGCTTTCTCCCACCAGACTTCTTAGTCTAAATCTGGACAGTTGTTCACTCCATGCAGCCAGTGATTTCAAATATATGCAGCTCATTGTTCCCAGATGAAGAACGTATTTCCTACTTTTGCTGCCAATCCTGGTCTCCAAGATCCTGAGTCAGATGAGCTTTCGACCCTCTTGGGTTTTTCCTGGAGTATCAGTGGTTCCTTGCCAGCCTTACCAGTATTACTTGTGCTGCCTTTCTAGGGTGGGGACCCTATATCACTTAGAGATCTTGCCTCAGTCCTGGTTGCATATTTAATAAGAGATACAATGCTTTGGCACCTCCATATTTGTTTTTGTAAGCACAAATTATGCTTCTGAGCTTTTTTCTTGTTCTGGTTAAAATGTTATTTAAATTCCCTCATAAATGCAATTTTCTCACATATATCACTTATTTCAAATGTGCAACAGGGGATGGAATAGCTATCAGTACCAGGCATGTTCTTAATTCTGTAGCCTCCAGCACTTTCCACTGGTGTGAGCATCTAAATTTGTCCCTCTATAAGCTTAGTTTCCTTTTTTAACTGGAAAGAACAAATTTAAGTATTTTATTTGAAAACTTTTGTATTCAGCTATCATCAAGACAAAACCAAGTAAATAGACAAACTACGATTTGTGAAGGGCAGGGAAAGTTCTGGACGAGAGCTGAGAGAGACACTGTGACAACGTGCACCGGTGACCACAAAGTGCTGGGTTTTCCCAAGGTCCTGGCTTTAGGCCGTATTTTTCCAGACCAGTCTGGTGAACTTTGCATATAGCCAGAGAAAGGCAACGCTTCTACATTTCAAATGTTTGCAGTGCAGGTTGTCAAAACTGTGCGAGTAGGGTGACGTGAGCCTGGGGCCCAGATGACTTCCATCCCATCCACATTCTTCTCACCCATTTGGGATTTGGGTCAAGTTGCTTAACATCCTTGAGCTTTAATTCCCTCACTTGTAAAACTGAAGCTTTGGACGCCCAGGTCATTGATGCTCAGATTGTGTGTGGCGGCGGCCCGTGAAGAGGGGAGCCTCAGTGGTCTCAGGGAGTCAGGAAGCACATGGGTGCCTGAGTGGGTGGGCTCTGTCAAAGTCACCAGCCCCCCGCACCCCGCTGTCGCCTCAACAGTCAAGTGTTATTTATTGATTTACTTATATTTTTTTGAGGGGGGTGCCGTGCGGCTCGTGGGATCTTACCCAGGGATCAAACCCGACCCCCCTGCGGTGAAAGTGCCAAGTCCTAACCACTGGACCACCAGGGAATTCCCAGTCCTGGGTTTGTTTTGTTTTGTTTTTGCGGCACACGGGCCTCTCACTGTTGTGGCCTCTCCCGTTGCGGGGCACAGGCTCCGGACGCGCAGGCTCAGCGGCCATGGCTCACGGGCCCAGCCGCTCCGCAGCATGTGGGATCCTCCCGGACCGGGGCACGAACCCGTGTCCCCTGCATCGGCAGGCGGACTCCCAACCACTGCACCACCAGGGAAGCCCTAGTCCTGGGTTTTTAAAATCACTTTTCATACATTGTGGTTCTTTGTCAGTTTTAAGTTTAAAAAAAAGGAAGTTCGCAGTTTTCCAGAAAAAGTTTGAAAAGCTCTGGTTTAGATGGTTCCATTTCTGAGGTCCTTTCCAGTTTTAACTTTCCATGACTCTGTTACCCCCTTCACTTACTGACCTCAGTCCTGCCCGCCTGCTTCTCTCATTGTTTGTAAAGTCCACGAAGAAAGACACCACCGTGTCTTATTCCTGTGTAACCAGGCTCAGAGCTCGGCAAAGCACTGGAGTCAGTGACTGTTTGTGACATTAGTAAATGGACTCCTGCTTGACTAGCCCCACTGTTTGTGAGAGACACACACCCAGACACAGTGAGCCTCGGGCTGTGGCACTCGGGGCAGCAGTGACATTTCACTCCTCCTGCTTGTGTCCCACGCTGGACCTGCATGTCTGAGACCTCCAGTGCCTCAGCAAACCGTTTGTTTTTCTTTAAAAAAAAAAAAAAAAATCTCTCAAGCCTGGTGTTACTGCTGGTGGTCATGAGACTGTCACCTTTACATATGACTAGGTACAGGTGTGAGAAGGAAGCCCCGCTTGCCTAGCTCCTCCTCTAGTTCCCTAAACACCATCCTTTTCTGAGTCAGGCTGTGGATTCTCATGGCGTGATCCACACACTCTCTCCCACTGTCTGCATTTGCGTTTCTGCTTATGCTCTTCTTGATCCTCTGCTTGTGCTTCTCCCTCGGGCATCCTTGCCTGTGCATCCCTCACCTGTGCGGCCTCGCCCGGCATCCTTGCCTGTGCATCTCTCACCTGTGCGGCCTCGCCTGGCATCCTTGCCATATGGGAGCTGTCCCCGGCCACATGTCTAGGCCCTGCCATCCTCGTGCTCTGTGGGACACAAGGGCCTTTCTTGTACAGAGGTGGGACTCAGGGGACTCAGTTATGGCCGCCGTTAAATTAAAGATGCCGAGTCACTGTTGAGCGGTGCTCTGTAAGAGGACCCTGTCTGGGCAGACAGTCTTTGTTAGATGGCTGTCCTGTGAGGATGCAGTCCGTGCACCCTAGAAACATGGGGGCAGCATTACCTGTACCACCCAGCTGCCTGTTTCTGTCCTGTGCAGCCCTTTCCCACTTTATAGGAAAGTCGCTTAGGCGGAGGCCTGGTTGAATGCTGTTGTCAGTAGGGTCGAGGTCCTCCCTGGTGACTCTCTTTCATGGCTCGGAACAGGCTTGCCTCTTCTCAGCAGCATCGAAATTGTGGCATGCACACAACAATGGGGGCCAAGAGACTGGGGCGGGATCCATGTGGTGTCTGGTATCTGTCAGCCTCTGTAACACTTACGTGCTTCCTGTGGAGATGGCAGAAGCCAGTGTTTTTGTCTCTCATTTAATCCATCTGGCCTCTCCATGTTGTGTGTGTCTGTCTGGATCAAGATGGAGCTTTGTATTCTGGGACCCATTATCTCCGAGGTCCTACCTGTGTTTGACAGGTCAGGGCATCTACAATCTGCTCCCTCTTCTATGCAAATCACACTCCCCGCCTGGCTCCTAGCCAGCAGCTCCTACATCCCCCATAATAAATCAGTTTCTGTTGAAACCAAGAACATGGATGCTATATAACCTTGCTGTGTTTTATTTTTGAAAATATAGAGTCCCATTTTTTTTTCTCTATTAAAAGTTGCCAAATTGTCAGCCTTACTATCAATTCAGTAACAGCTTTTTGTCCGGTCAAGGAGGTGAAACACAACAAAACCAAAGACTATCCTATTAATTGTACTTCTCAATTTTAAGATCTATCCAGTTTACAATTTTAAATGTGAGAACTGTATGCCTTGAAAACATAGAGACAGATTGCTTTTGAGTAGCTTGCCTACTTTCTTATAGTACTCTTAACAGATCAGAAAAAAAGTGCTGCTCTAAAATATACATAACTTAGGTTAGCAGTATGAGATTTGAAGAAACTGAATTTATGTTAGTAAATCAGCTAATCTGAAAGCTTCCAGGAGAATTTTTGTTTATTTTATTAGCTTCAAATAGCATATTGCATGAATATCTCAGACTTTCTACTGTCAGCGTCCTCCACATTTCTAGCCACCTTTTGTCATTACATTTTGAGCAAAAAAAAAAAAATGCAAACTAGGTTGTTATCTTAAGACACCCCATTAGATTGCTGTTAATCTGTAGTGGAAGAATTCAGTA